CCGTCGGGTTTCTGGCTTCCCGTCGGGTTTCTGGCTTCCCGTCGGGTTTCTGGCTTCCCGTCGGGTTTCTGGATTCCCGTCGGGTTTCTGGCTTCCCGTCGGGTTTCTGGATTCCCGTCGGGTTTCAGTTGGGATTTCACCTGCAGCGAGGGTTTTTTTTGGAGAACTTGAATAAGAGCCCACACTTGAATAAGAGTCATTACTCGGATAAGAGGCGTCGGGTTTCCGGTTTTCCGTCGGGTTTCAGTTGGGATTCTCACTTGCAGTGAGGGTTTCCTTTAAAAAACTTGAATAAGAGCCATCACTTGAATAAGAGTCATTACCCGGATAAGAGTAATTACCTTACGTCGACCACACTCGTATCACTGCAGACTCTGCAGTGCAGAGTCCACTGAATTGAGACCAACACGACACAAAATCTTATTGGGGTTATTTTTTAAGGTGCATGAAGCTACTAGCTTGAATTCTATCTTGCTGGTAAATAGCTGACCGTCAGAAATCACAGATTGTGATTCACAATCTAACGAAATTTTTGAACCGAGGAGGGGTCCTTCTGGTACGCTTCGACATTCTCCTGCCGTTATCTAATTGCAGCACTACAACACGCAATCATCGATAATATATCATTCATTCGGTCGTTAGGCTCAATACTACCTGCGTCTGTCGCTCTGATCGATGAGGCAAGTGCTCGGTGTTTCTTCGTACCACGCTCAGAACTGTCGATTATAGAAGGGTTCACTCGGAGCGGCGGGCGTGTTGAAGGCTTGCCTGAGAAGAAAAAAATAGCTGTATTTACCGACTCTGCCTAGCCCGCTCCTTACTCAGTGCTAAATCTGAACTAACGATCTTGCTAACATCCTCTTCTACAACGGAGTATGGATCTATGAATTAAATCCATTGGCTTCTGTCACATTTTCCTCATCTACCGGCTCACCAATAAGCGAGACAAGCGTTGCAGGATTGTGTGATTGCAGTATCCTTCCTTCCTCCGGTGTGTCATCTTCCACTCGTGGGATTAAGGCTTCTCCTGGGATGAGACACTGGAACGCTGCTGATGTTCGTCAACTTACCAGGAGACCACAAAGGCACTTTGTTGCCCCGAACTGCCTCTTCTGCTGCTGCGTATTCTAATAGTTGCCAATCTGGCAGAATTTCATTTTGTTGAGCATACTCTCCGCCTGCTGAGCATGATGAACCTAACCGCATGCCATCCTCATCGCTAGGGTACTGTTTGTGATTCATCGTTACGTACCCCCGCCTATGTTTGCTCCTTCCATGTATTTCGCTCTCCTGCTAACCACAGGCGATCCTTCCATTCTAATGTCGCTCGGGTGCTTCGACAAAGGCCCTCGGCTTTTATGTGGTCTTCCTGCCCAGTTCACTTGCGGCATATTGACTACCCTCACAGTTGTTGGAATACTATTCTCCCCATCCCTGTGCGCAACTAAACGTCGAGCCATGACGCTGTGATGGCACTGCGAGAATTTCGCGAACCCTGCGCAACTGCAGAGGGCTCTCGGCTGCGCGCCACACACGGTTGGAGGCACTACCACCAGATGTACTTGAAGTATTCTCTTGTTAAATGCGACCACCGATCCGGCCCCATGCCCGTCCCACCTCCCCAAAGCTAGCTCCACTCTTTTCATGGCTTCTCCTCTAGCTAGGGGTTCCCTCTGCGAGCTGGTTATGCAGAAGACTCTATAGCCTTGCGGTAAATCGTCTCCAACGTTCATTTCCTCACAAATTCTACTTTCCTCGTTCGCTCCCTCTTCCGTCAGCTGTTGAAGGCGAATTAACGCTTTAGCCTCCATCGCCGCGTGAGCTGTCTCCATATGACCCATGGATGCACTTGTCACTAGACCGTTACGATTAGTCACGCCACAGACGGACAGATAACTCCCTACCTCCCTGATGAGCCCTTTCTGACCCCCTAACGCTATCGTCCGAGATCGCTCGACGAAAGAACCATGAAATTTCGAAAAGATTGATTTTGCTGCGTTGTTGTACCAGGGTCTTGCTGCAACGGACTGTCGCTTCTCCTCCTCTCGAGCTAGAGCTAGAGGACATTCATGATGGAAGGCACCCAGTATCTCCTCCTTTCTCCAGGAAACCCCCATACTCCCCCATTTTCAGCATATGCCCCTCTTATACGTTACTCCCTACCTACTCATCCTAAACGCTTCTTTCCGCACTAATTCTACTCTCTTCAGTGGGGTAAATGCAAATAATCAAGGACAATGGGGAATAGTCAAGGACGCAATCTCGCTCGCCCTGGGTGAAATTTTGGGGAATATTCAAGGCAGAGGGCTGGGGACTTCGTTGGCCAGTTGAACAGTGTTCTTTTGTGATAAAATGGAGGGCGAGGCAACGATTCCTAGTCTAGAAGACCAACCAGCCAGCCGCAAGCCGGCTTAGCCGGCCACCTTCTATGGAAACAGCATACGGCGTGTACGCGTGGACCGAGAGCAGGTCCCTAAAAAAGTATGGACGGATAAGCTGAAGGAAGTCATTCAGCAGCAGTTTGATGTGAAGGTAGCATCTCATCAGCCTCTCGACGATTCACTTGTGTCACAACATAGATGTGGGTGAAGGAAACAGGACCTGGATATCGCGTATACTTATGCAAAACTCACGAAAGTTGCTCTTTTCAAGTGAGTTACTGCGAGTCAATCTGCATTCCCTAGGATGAATCCTATAAGAACGTGTGCGTGGTGCAGGTGAAGGCTGTATTTATCAATGAGGTCGATGTGGACATCTTTGTAGCTAATCACCCCCACAGTGGGGAACCCGCCGGCATCGCAGGTAATACGAAGAATCGCGTACGAAATGCATACAGATTAGTGGGCTCGATCAGGCAAGAGGAAAATAAGCTTACCTCTAGATTCATTCGCTAATTAACAAACCGCAACGGATTTGTCTGTATAGACTTAATACAACTCAATGAGGACATGCTGTTCTTGGCACTAACTTAACACAATGCTTCGCGAGAGACCTGAATACCAGAGAGAGAGAGAGAGAGTAAAAGAACGACAGCTTGTAGAAGCCTCTAGCTCACTGGCCCTTCTTTTGTCAACCACAACATCAGGAGTCTTCTCGGCTTCCTTCCGAAATGTAGCATTAGTTTGTCGTGATGTTATCCTGAAGCCCAAAGCCAACTCAGACGAGTGGAGCCCTGGGTCAAGTCTTCAACTTACTTAGTAGGAGACGTTTTCGTGAAGAACTCAGTAATAACTGACTGACCTGTAGCAGGCGCAGCAGCGGTGATAGAAGTATTTCGTGCTGGGCAGGATAGGTCGGCAGGAAGTGGAGCAGAGCGATACAGATGCCACACCTTGCGTAGGTGCCGCCGTTGGCGACGAGTAATGTTGATCCAATCTAACTTAGATAATCTAAGTAGTACCTAAAGAGAAGAAAATGGCAACCATTCAACTGCAAGTCCGAAATTTGAGATGAGTTCCAAGTTGAACTGTTCAGCGAGGTTACTTTCTGAACGCTGCAATCGTCTGCTGCCGCTGAAACCACTCTGTAGAGGGCAAATGCATCCCTGAGCGGCGCTCCATTCTGATACCGCGTCTTTCTTCTAGGGGTATCGAACTGTTGCGGAGAACTGAAGGATAACGCTGGGGAGGAGGAGGGATGAAGGGAGGCTCCTCTTGAGATACGGCCGAGTGACTCCCACGAGCGGACGGAGATGGCATTAGGTAACCAGAAACCCGAAGGGAATAACAAGTCAACCAGAAACCCGAAGGGAATAACAAGGCAACCAGAAACCCGAGGGGAATAACAAGGCAACCAGAAACCCGAAGGGAATAACAAGGCAACCAGAAACCCGAAGGGAATAACAAGGCAACCAGAAACCCGAAACAAGTCAACCAGAAACCCGAAGGGAATAACAAGGCAACCAGAAACCCGAAGGGAATAACAAGGCAACCAGAAACCCGAAGGGAATAACAAGGCAACCAGAAACCCGAAGGGAATAACAAGCAGCCAGAAACCCGAAAGGGATGACAGTGTAAAGTTTACATCTTAGGTATGGACGCTATGGACGCTATGACGTGGTTAGTGGTGACCTAAGACACCAATTCAAGGGACATCGTCTGTTTGAGCCGTGCCTTGACTATTTGCAAAAAAACGGCGCGGGGCGAGCGAGAAATCACCTTGACTATTCACGATTTCCCTTAAAAATCTGAATTTACTCCTCTTCAGTGCATTCCTAAACCTACATCTGCGTGATTTCATCACGTTTTCTTGCACTTCTTACAGTTAGACAATTTGTGTACTCACGCAGTTCGTGAAAATTTACATCCATTTGGCGGTCGTATGCGTACCCAAACGAAATCTTCACGCTGTGGAGTTCACGCTTTGCTTTCATAACGAACCAAGCGCAAAAACCATGCAGGAAATACACAGTGCATTACGCACTACAACCTCCTCCTCCGTAGGAGCTACAGCTTTCCCGGAGCGAAGCGACGCGAGCTGCTAGTCAGTCCATTGCACGAACTATTCGAAGTCCTTTCTGACTCGTCCTAGCTCGAATACGACTCTGTGCTCTCGCTTCCGATCGATATTCAACTCTCCACCCGGGACACAACGATAACTAGGCTGAGCTAAAGCTGCTATTTCTGCTCACTCGGATCCCTACTCATGCCCACTAGGGCGACACCTTGAGTTAGCATAGTGTAGGCCCATTCCCGATCGGCTGCATGTCAGTCCATTGCACGAACTATTCGAAGTCCTAACTGACTCGTCCTAGCTCGAATACGACTCTGTGCTCTCGCTTCCGACCGATATTCAACTCTTCCCCCGGGGCACAACGCCAACTAGGCTGAGCCAAAGCTGCTATTTCTGCCCACTCGGATCCCTACTCATGCCCACGAGGGCGACACCTTGAGTTAGCATAGTGTAGGCCCATTCCCGATCGGCTGCATGTCAGTCCATTGCACGAACTATTCGAAGTCCTAACTGACTCGTCCTAGCTCGAATACGACTCTGTGCTCTCGCTTCCGACCGATATTCAACTCTTCCCCCGGGACACAACGCCAACTAGGCTGAGCCAAAGCTGCTATTTCTGCTCACTCGGATCCCTACTCATGCCCACTAGGGCGACACCTTGAGTTAGCATAGTGTAGGCCCATTCCAGATCGGCTGCATGTCAGTCCATTGCACGAACTATTCGAAGTCCTAACTGACTCGTCCTAGCTCGAATACGACTCTGTGCTCTCGCGTCCGATCGATATTCAACTCTCCACCCGGGACACAACGATAACTAGGCTGAGCCAAAGCTGCTATTTCTGGACCCACTCGGGTCCCTACTCATGCCCACTAGGGCGACACCTTGAGTTAGCATAGTGTAGGACCATTCCCGATCGGCTGCATGTCAGTCCATTGCACGAACAATTCGAAGTCCTAACTGACTCGTCCTAGCTCGAATAGGGCCGCATTAGCCGAACGAGGAGCTTGGGCGCGCAGAAAAAATCTTGGGCCAGAGGGAGAAAATCTTGGGCGGGCGAGAGACGAGGGGGATTTACCCCGCCGACCATGTTGGGCTCCAATTTTTTCTCTTGCGTGCGCCATCATAATCGATATCCTCGACAAATATGTCTAATCCCTCCTTCGATGGCTATCAACGAGACTTGTCCCATGCTTGTCATGTCATCGCTGTTACTCACTTGCACCTCATAGTTACCGGTAACTTGAGAAAAAAGAGGAGATTCAGAAAAGGTGCTCGGATTTCGAGGATGACGAAGTAGGTGAACGTAAACGCTCTGATGTTGTGAGCGTGTGGTATGGGCATCGAGGGACTCGTTCGACTGTGTAGGTCAAAGCAACCGCATATTATAGCTCGATGGGCAATGGAGCTGGCGTACCGCTCCATCGTAAGAATGATCCTAAACTTCACGGGATAGTTGATCCTAATAACTCTGCCTTGCTTGCCGGACAGTCTATCATGGCCATCGGTGCATCGGTGCATTGAAATATGTCATCTCCATGATCATCGTGGTGGAGCTCACACGTCCTTTTTAGGCCAGGGAGAGAGTTGTTACTCGTTGCTGAGACCGATAAGGGAGTCGTTGCTCGTTCCGTCATATCAACATCGTGAGGATATCGACAGTTGCCAGGGTGTGAGATAGTGAAATTACATGTTAAGTTGGCTAACTTTGTGCTGGTTTCTGTGATGATTATGTTTCAAGTTTGAACACTCCTGAGTTGAATGGGTAGTGGTGCGCACGGATCGGATTTGGTCAGTTGTGCCTCTATACTCATACTTATATCATTATGAGTGCCCTGGACCGGATCAATGAGATTGAGCAAGAAATGGCCCGCACTCAGAAGAATAAGGCCACCAACGCCCATCTTGGACGGTTAAAGGCCAAGTTGGCTAAGCTCAAGACCGAGGTAATGACGTGATGTCATTGACATCCATAGTCAGTTTATTTCGCAATAACTGACTATCGTTCAGTTGGTGAGCGGCTCCTCCAAGAGCGGTGGTGGCGGTGGAGAGGGGTTCGATGTGAAAGCCACAGGCAATGCTCGTGTTGGGCTCATTGGGTTCCCATCAGTGGGCAAATCCACGTTGCTGAATAAGGTATGTAAGACAGCTTTGGCGAAGATGATTTTGATGAATCCTTTCCAAGTTAACCGGCACCTTTTCGGAAGCAGCGGCGTACGAGTTCACCACGCTTACCTGTGTGCCTGGTGTTTATACGTATAAGGGTGCTAAAGTCCAAGTCTTGGATTTGCCCGGTAGGGGGAGGGTCACGGGTTGAGGTGGAGAATTGTCGTATCAGGTATCATCGAGGGTGCCAAGGATGGTAAAGGTAGAGGTAAACAGGTGATCAGTGTCGCAATGACCTGTAGTCTCATCCTGATCTGTCTGGATGTCACCAAGCCTCTTACACAGAAGCGGAAGATCGAGCATGAGCTTGAAGGCTTTGGTATGAGGTTGAATAAGAAGGCTCCAAATATCATCATCACGAAGGCTGATAAGGGTGGTATCAACATCACTGTCGCCCCTGGTTATCGATTGATCGGCATGGACGAGGAGACGGTCGTGACAATCTGCAAGGAGTTCCGGATTACTAACGCTTCTATTGTGTTCCGATGCAACGCAAGCAGTGATGACCTTATTGATGTTATCGAAGGTAGTGGAGTTTTTTTTTGCAGTTTAGTTGACAGTATTCATCTCAGGTGGGCGTAAATACGTGCCATGCCTGTATGTGATGAACAAGATTGATTCAATCACCATTGAGGAGCTCGACGTCATCTGCAAGTGCCCTCACTATGTGCCTATATCGGCCGATCTTGGATGGAACATAGACGGGTTGAAGGATAAGATGTGGGACTATATGGACCTCATTCGGGTAAGCCGACCATCGCTTGCACATATCTCTGCCTCCTTCCGAATCAAATGGTCACCCATCTCGCCCACTGAGCGAGTGGATTTCGAAGGGTATTGGAAAGCATATTTAGGTGTACACCAAGCCAAAGGGACAGGTGCCTGATTACTCCGAACCGGTGATTCTCCCTCGAGAGAAGAGTACCATGGAAGACTTCTGCTTGAAACTCCATAAAGTATGGCGCAGTTGTCATCGTTGTACCTTGATGATGCTTTGCCCTGCTTAGAGTATTCTCGAGGAGTTCAAGTATGCTTTGGTATGGGGCATGTCAGTGAAGCACAACCCTCAACGGGTCGGGAAGGACCATGTAGGGTTTTATCGTAAGGATGATTGGACGATAGAAATATCGTGCAGGTACTGGTGGATGAGGATGTGGTACAGATTGTAAAGACTACAGGTTAAAGAAGAATGCTACACTTCCCCCTCGGCTGTTTATTCACCAAAAAGTCTCCGACTATCTATCAGTGTCGTATTGGAATGAGTGGTTGTAACGATGCTGTTAGTATTGTCATCCATTTTGCGTTTGCTACAACGTTATGGCCCCCAAGGGTGGTAAGAAGGAAGATCGAGGGGCAGATAAGGCGAAGATGAAGGCGCGAGAGAGGGTGGCTGAGGATAAGACCTTCGGCCTTAAGAATAAGAACAAGTCTCATAAGGTCCAGAGGTACGCCTTCTCAGGCTAGTCAACTTTCATGCTATGATGTTGACAGGTATGTACAGGAAGTCCAGGCAGCTGCAAAGGCCAAGCCTGGCCAGCGGGGACCCCAGAAGAACGAAGTAAAGATGGACCAACACTGTGTTCGATGCACGACATTTCTGTTATATGCAGTTCGAGAAGCGGGAGGACAAGAAGAAGGAGGAGCAACGGCAGTTTTTGTTGCAATCTATATTCTCTGGAGTGCAATTGGAGACCAAGAAGGATAAGAAGAAGGCAGCTAAGCAGAGAAAGAAGGAAGAGGTTTGACTATCACTACTCATCCACAGTTGATTGTGGTGGGTACTTTAGGAAGAGAAGTATGGCAAGATCGACCTCTATTCTGATAACCGGAATAACAGAGAAGAGAGCGAGGAGGAGAAGAAACAGGATACTATGGATCACTGGGATCAGGCCAAGCTGGAACAGGTCATCAAAACCAAGCATAATGCTTCCAACCAAAACCATCCCACTGAGATTATCTGCAAGTACTTCCTCGATGCAGTCGAGAAGGGTGTCTACGGATGGGTAAGCCGGTGAGGGGATCGCCGTCAATCATTCCTCGGATCCGATCAGTTCTGGGTATGTCCTGATGGTGGTGATAAATGCAAGTATCGACATGCTTTGCCTCCTGGATACGTACTGAAAAAGAAGAAAGCTGATGATGATGACGATTACGATAACGGCCCATCAATTGACGAAATCATCGAGCAGGAGCGACAAGCCTTACCTGCTGGAGGTAGGAATAATCTAGCTCAACCGGCGCTGGGCGACGGCATTTATCTTTGATATCTCGTCTCATATGCATGAAAGTCGTGGACGACGACTCGGCGTCATCATCGACTATAACTCGTCTGTCGACATGCGCTTGGCCAACTCGAGTCTATCTTATTGTGTTTATGAACTCGTCCTTAGGCACTCCTGTCACACTCGAGACTTTTACAGCATGGAAGAAGAAGAAACAAGAGGAAAGGGAAGCAGAGGAGGAACGGAAGAAACAGGAGCGTATTGCCCAGGCTAAGAAGGAGAAGCGGAGCGTTATGTCTGGAAGGTATGCAACTATACCTTGCTGTTTATGAGTTATCACGGGGCTTTTCAGGGACTTGTTCACCTTCGATCCGACGCTGTTCGTGGATGACGATGATGCGAGCTCGGAATCTTCTTATGAGGAGTCTGATGATGAGGATGATGACGGAGTTGATGTACGTGATGGTGTTGAATGATGGAACAGAATTTATCATGATCAGACTCCTCAGCATGTCCTCCAGAGCTCTGCTGCCGCTGCCTTGTTCTCAAAGGATGAGGAACTGCCTGACGACGATTAACTCTTGGCTCCTTTCAACTATCGCCACTTACTATACGATTCGGCAAGTACATCTTACTTGTGAAAACTACGCGTACATTGTTTAGTTATGGGAGGTGGTGGCACCAACTTGGTCAAAACGACAGAACTCACATCTAATCATTAACCAGTTTATCGCAGGATGCTAGCGGTATCACAGATTCTGTGATACAGAACGACGATACTGATCTCATGGAGTTCAATTCGATTGATTATCCTTTATTCGACCGATTTCGAACTTTTCAGCGGATGGCGGCACATGACTACTTGACAAGCAAAAGCCAGTCACTGGCTTCCATGCGATTCGCTGCCACGTAGACTGATTGGCAGTGTGTGCGTCGCACACGGTGCCGAAGCAATCCGAGACATGATCACAGGACGGAGACGCGTTGAACCAGCTGCTCTCACTGTCACCGGCTTACCAGCTTCAGTTCGGAATGGACAATCTCAATCTCAGAGCTTCATAATCTGCATACATGCACGAAAGTTAAAGGACGGTACCAGCTTCAGTTCGGAATGGACAATTTCAATCTCAGAGCTTCATAATCTGCATACATGCACGAAAGTTAAAGGACGGTACCAGCTTCAGTTCGGAATGGACAATTTCAATCTCAGAGCTTCATAATCTGCATACATGCAAGAAAGTTAAAGGACGGTAGGGACATCACAGAAGGTTACTTGAGGACCTCAGCCTGAGGTATAGATATCACAATGTGTAACAAACTTCTAAGGCCCTGGTAACCAGGGAGAGTTTGGCGAAGTCTCTTAAGTTTTGACAGGTCATCAGCCCCGCGGAAGAGCTCTGTGGCTGGAGCTGAAACGGGAGAGGTTGGGAGTGCTGGGGGCGGCTCAAGCCTATCAGTGAGGGTTGAGATTTTCAACTTGAGAATTCAAAAATTTCATAAGTCTATGATTAATACTACTAATCATAGACTCTTGTGAATTTTTCAGCGACGTGAGGATTTTGACAGTCGTTCGGAAGAGCGAGGGACTGCCACACTACAGAGGTCGGTATGAGTTCTGCTCGCCTAATTTGATCGGATACACATGATAATCAACGCGCTTAGGCTAAGCGGATTAGCAAATCTCGCGTCGATCCCGAGCGAGTGTGTCTAACGCGACTGCGTCGGGTGGTCATCGACTGGTAACGCGACCGCATGTGACTCCGGCGTGCCTTAGAACTGCTCGCAAAGAATGGGCATACAGCATGATCGAGTATAAATCAAATCCATGGTACCTCAGTTCAACCGTATACGACATGATGTCAATCTATAACATGCTGAGCATCTTCTTGGCTAACTGCGTGACTGCCGATTAGGGCTTCGTAATCCCGCCGAACGTACTGGGGAATCTGAAGCTCGACAACGTTCTGACTGAGACCAAGGCTGCCATCCAGACTACAGCCTTCCTCACAGTCGATCTTTCCCTGCTCGGGGGAATCGATCTGGGGCAGACTCCGGGTTTCCTAAACGCCAACAAACTTGTCATCGAGACCACGATAACTCCAATCTTCAACCTTTCCCCTTTTGATGGGATGGATCTGGGGCCGGCCATGAGCTCGTACAATACCGGCATCGTCACGGCTGAGGCAAGCGGCGCCGGGCTTCCAGAAGAGAGCTCGATAACGAATGGAGGTTTTGGCTATCCGATGTAACATCTGTCTGACCAAGAGTTTCTTGCGCGAAACTTTCGCGCACTTCGTTGTCGGGAACGTAAATGTCTGACGACAACCCGGTGAATCAGCTGCCCCATCAGCAAAGGGGTCCTGACCCCTCGGCGCACGCGAATACACCCCGTCACGACCAGTTGCCACCGAACGGAGGCCCGATTGGCACAACACGAAGATGACTATGATTACTGCTTACGTTAATTGGTTGAACCCGGCGAGAAGCGCTACTAGAAGCTACTGTGTACCGACATCTCAGAGATGCCCTACCCAAAAGTCGAAGAACACACGAGCAAGTAAGTGTTCAGCTCCGTCAGAGGACCGCGAGTAACACTGGTGACGCTGTTCCATTCGTGGCGATACTGGTGGTACTGGCCTGCGTACTAATATCGTCGTGCTGCCAGTTTTTCCTCTTGGCACGAAGACTGAATCCTGATCGAGCGGAGGCAGGGGACCCCTGACAGGGGTGAGGTTCGTTGGTAACATCGAACGGATATCACCGCGATTCACCGACATTTTCAAG